CTTTCGACTTGTGACGACACAGTAGACCTGCAATCAGATTGACGTGTCTGTAAAATTTGCCACATTGCTCATCTATCTGTGAGAGAAATGTTTCCACGTGGCAGCATTGTTACGTCTATAAGTATTGACGAATGTCGTGTATAGAATCGGATATACTTATATACTATTTCTAGAAGACTTCTCGTTGGTAAACATGCAAAATTATAGTTGCTGATCGCCATTTTCTCATGCAAAAATGGTTCAATTCTGTTCAGTATTTACAAAGATATAATGAATGTTGTGAATATTCGGTATCCACAGCAGACGATGTTAGGAGCCAGTGTAACCTATGATTTACGCATAAACTTTTGATGGACCTTTAATGCTATAGAATCCAAACTGGGAAGTTATCAACCATTTATATTTTGATTAGTTAATTATATTCAATGTGAGGATATTTTAGCATCTGACAAGTTAAAGATACATTAGTTTAATAAAGAGATGTCAATTCTTGCTATAATAGCTCAAAAATAGATGATAAAAAAAAAATATTGAAAATTTCAGTCACATAACTTTATTCTGAACGGAATTTGGACTAGAAATGAGCATCAACTGTGTCCGCGCCGTCTATGAGAATTGCAGAAGATAATTCCACCCACATATTCTCGAATATCAAGTAACATTCTCAATGGCTGTGGTACCCCACCCCCCTTGGCAGGCCTTCCATCACCAGTTTCCGGTAGTGACGTCTGCCATTTCTTGATTTAATTTTAAATGGACGACTGTTTTAATCCAAGCTGTATCCAAGCCATCCGAAGGTCCATAGAGTTAATTTTGAACTTGTCATGTAAATAAAGGTATAATAAATAATTTCTATAACATCTGAAGCCCTAATGAGCAGATTTAGCTCTTGTATAATGTATGTTTAATCAATGTCCGATAAATGCAAACAATGATCAGCGACGTTGAATTCGCTGCTCTTAAAGGAGGGGTTCAGCTGTTGCAGTTTATGTATGATATTCCTTATGCAAGAATGCAGAACCCATAGTATATAATCAACGACAAGTATAGCATGCGCTGATAACGTGGTTAATTCGAGATAAAACGATTTATTGAGCATGGTGCAACTGTTTTGAATACAAATCAAAGAAACTGCAACGATCAGAATTTTCCTTTAAGGAAATGCAAGTACCATAAAACAGTGAAAATTACAATAATGAGCATGTATGATTGCACTACAAATTTGTCAAAAAAATACGTATTTATTTTCGACGTTTGTGTTTTCTTATGCAGCTAATAAATCAAAGAATAATTGCGAATATTCGAATAATTGGGAAAAGTTAGTAACACCGCACGGAATACGGATTCCATGATTCGAGGGGGATCACGTGGCTAAGTGGGTAAGACGCTGTCTAGTCGTTCGGATGGGATGAAAAACCGAGGTCCCATGTACACATTGGTGTGCACGTAAAAGATCCCTTGGCAGTTGGAATTCGATATAAGAGTAGGCCATAGCGCGCTGCCCGGGCAAAATTTCCCTCATAGCACACTGTATGGCGTATGCCCGTCTTCATTATCCCAGGTTAGGAGCAGAACAGTAGGACGTTAAACCCCATTTCATTTCATTTCCATGATTCAATAGGCTGTTGTAGTCTTGACAGTTTCTAGCGTCAGCATGATTTATCACACATTACCCACACCCATTTAAAACAGGTCCGTGTCTTAATGTAAATACGGGTTCTAAATGTATTTAATATGACTTCAGTTATCGGTCACATTACGTTATGAACATCACACTTCGTACTTTAATAACGTTTACCTTTAATTCATATTCAATATTTACATTAACAAGTTAATACAACATGAACCTGCTTTTAACGTTTATTTACTTTAATATTCAAAATGTGTGAAATATCAATAATGAAATGGTTTTTATACCCTACAGCTAATGTGGCCATTTATTGTCGTATGCAATTTCTTGATAACACTGTAGAAAATACAATTAACATTTAATTCACTGGCTGTATAATAGTGAAGTTAAGCAAGTATTAGGGAAGTAATTATATCAACAGGGGCAAATCCCAGCTTTAGTCCAGCTTAATCGGAGCGTGTTCCTGTTCCGGGGGATAGCAATGGTGGAATCCATACCGCTACGAAAAGTCCCTTTCGAATGGCACACTTTGAATGGCACGCATACGTAACACATAGCTAAACGATCTGCAATACAAGAAGAAATTACATAATATCTGAGAAAAATGGGAAATCTATTCAGTTCCGAATGGCATATAGGCGCGGGAATGAAACAATTGAGTTGTTACAGTCTAAACTGGGCCTTGACGAGGGTGTGTGTGTGGGGGGGGGGGGGGTGAAGATATAGGTACTGATATAATTGGCGGGGGTCTGGTGGGGTTGCTTAAGGTTTTAATTACTGAAATATGTCAAGCTGGGATGTCATGTGGTACACGTACACGCTTCATGACATTTCTGGCTCTAATCCTCTCGTTTGCGATGTTTCACAAGGTATGACCTTGCAATATATATATGACTTGTGTAGTATACTTCATTAATCTTATCGATTATGCAGAGGAGAACAATGTAATCTTAGCACTGAGTCATTTCTTTACGGCGTGGATACAGTTCTACAAGCTTAATTATAACTGTGGCCCCCATATTTAGTTTAAGAACGACATCTTTAAAAGTGTACCAGGGAAACAGATGGACTACTATTTTACCGCATTTATAATATTCAAGATTGACAATAACGTTGATAATGGAATGAATTTCAACTTCTGCTTAGCATAGTACTTGGTATATTTTGAGACTACTATGTGGTAAATTTCATTACGTATGCCTGCAAAGCGGATAGTTTTACCGCCTATAGATGTGCTTCGAATTCCAACTAAACCAACATATTTCCGTTCCATCCAAAGGGGGGTGGGGGTGGATGGGCGTATGGTTAGCACGTGCGCGCTGTATCATAAGGCTTGTCATTGAGTCAACTGGCGTGGTTTCGAATCCCCGGTTGTACGTGACAAGGATTAGGGTCGCCTGTCCGACCTCGTGGGCTTTCTCCGGGTTATTGAAATAAAATTAAACCATATGTTAGTCCCGAAATGACCTAGTTTGTGTCGAGTGGATGTTAAACCCCCTCTCTCTCTCTCTCTCTCTCTCTCTCTCTCTCTCAGATTGTGTTTGGAATTAAAGAAAATGCTCTTGAACTTGTAACTTAGTATCTAACAAGTTATAGTTGGTGATCACACTCCGCCCAAACAAATCTCTCTCTCTCTTTCTCTCTCTCTCTCTCTCTCTCTCTCTTGCACAAACAAAAAATAGGGTGTTTAGGTTTAGTTTTGGGTGGTGTCTAATATTTGATTATATAATTTCACAATTTGGTATAGGCATTGTCCTAAATCAATTATACATTTAGATTTGTTATTCATTAAAATGTTTTTGAGTTTATGAATAGAAGGATAGGACCAAAGTCTGTCGTGAAAGAACTGGCAATGTAAATTTATACGTACACGGCAACAGAGGTGAACGCGGTATTCGTCTTTAATGGCGTCTGTTGTGCAGCAATTATAAATGCAATTTCTACGATCAATTCTTGTATAACGCCCGTTTTCGACATTCAATTTAAGCATACCACAACGAAATATTATATTTTGATATTTATTATCAATAGATGAATTTATGTAAAGTCCATGTTCATGTACAGTTTTCAACAATTTAAACCTCTCTTGTTTAAATTTGTACTCAACGTAGTATCTACGAACTCGCTCCTAAACCTGGTTAAGTCTATAGATATTCCCGTCATTCAATTCGTGTATGTAAAACTGTAATGCCCCATCACACACTGTAAAGAACATGGGAGCCGTCTTAGACTGGATTTTAAAATCTCTCGTTATAGATTGCCGGAACTCCTTGTCAACTTGACTATCGGAACGGCATGGATTACTTACCGTTTCGTATCTTTTCAAACGTTTATTTTTTATTATTTATAACTATTTATCTGTATCATAAATTTGGGTTTTCTTTGATATTGTTAAGCACATTTGAACACGTATGTGAATGATGCGCTATACAAATGGATTAGATAATATTAATAGCTAATAATTCCTCTTAAATAGCTTCTAGTCGTTCGGATGATACGAAAATCATAGGTTGAACTATGTAACCATGGACAGCTGGAATCCAATGCAGAGTGGGTAAAACGCCGATGTCAGGGCGTATGCTTGTCTTTATTAGCCCGATTAATACACAAAAATAGGGCGTTAAACCCTGTTCCATTTAAAGGGGCGTTAGGTAAAATTATGTAAAGAGCTGACAGTTCCCACTATAATAGTTAAAAATAGATATTGAAAACAGAATATGCCGAAACTTTCTGTCAAATTGATTCAGCGATTCAGTTTTAAACTTGCCTCGATCGTCATTACTACCGTTGGTGCGATAATAAGCAAAGTCTCGATTATCCATTTTTACGTTAAATCATCTATCACAAAACTCAATCAAATCCACTAAATATCCCAGGCTAATGATGGCATAAAGAGTTGAGTATGGTCTTGATAAGTTAATTCATGTCTAATTAATAATTTAGATAACATTTGAGGCCTAAATAATGAAAATTTATGTATGGATAATCCACGTTATAGTTGCTGGCAAAATGTATAGGTTTACATAATCATACTATTTGTGAATTAAATTTTTTGCATTGATCGGTTGACTAGTTGCTAAAGAGTCATTGAGTTGAAGAGTGGCTTTAACCTGGCTAAAATCGGGAGTATAATCATATGGTAATCCGAACTTGATCGACAGCTCTAACCTATCCTGTATGTATATAAGAGTAAAAGTAAAGTGTACATATCCTGTGTATATCTACAAACGCCAACTCTATCAACTATCCAGACACAGTCTATTACCTATATAATCTACGTCAATGTTATCGGAGTTGTGGTGTCGCCTATCTTGGGTATATAAGAAAGTTTATACTTACTATGATATAAGTCACGGGGCTAGGATATAAACATGTAGTGGTATATATACATAGTATACTGTATGTATATTATCTACCTATATAGAATATATTAACCTGGTGTACAATGCACTATTCTCTTTACACAAATGCTAGTGCATTTCAAACGGATTTAATCAACTCGCTGTGAATAAAAGACCGTGTGTTCTGGTCATAACTACTTCTAACGATATCAATATTCCAATAAAATTATGATCGACTATTGTATGGGAACGTTTTCTATTAACCCTGTGTTGGAGAGATAACATTGCCAAGACTGTTTTTTTGTTATAACTTTTCATTAGTTTGAGTGAATTCGTGTTGGATTAATTATTACAGAGCTTATCTGTTCGTAATAAATCACGCGATTTCAGCAGGTAATCAATCAATGATGAAGTTCACCAGTGAGGGTCGGTATTCTTCCCATCAAACTAGTGGTTGGTCAACCAGAAATCAAAAGAAACCCAATTTGATGGTAAACAATTTTGTGAAAGAAACGCCCAACGACAGGATAAGATCTAAATCAGTCCTCTTCTCGCGATCAGCGGTTGAAGAGAATAATGCGATTTACTCATCAAAATTAAAACCGACTAAAGACCGAGATAGCGAAAGTGAAGTTTGTGGTTCCCCTAGATCAGATTCAAGCAGAAGTTCTAAATACAGCAGCAGAAAATCCACCCTTGGTTCCAAGGATGATATTGACAATGCCAAAACTGCACATGGACGACAGTCTAGATCTGTGAGCGTATCTTCAGATACCACCATGGAGGAAGCTCCTGTGCCGCGTTCTGCGTGGAAAATATTTGAGGATAACATTAAAAACATTGATGATTCCGTGGACTACTTTGGTCAGACGCCAAAACCATCTTTCAAAGCAAGTGACGAATTCCAAAAGGTCATGGTGGATTTGTATGGGAATCCCGAATATGGGCAAAAGATCGGATACAGTCAGTTGAAAGGTAAGGTGGGAAACATATCAGCCATGGCATCAAGAATGGTTGCTAGGAAACGTGCAAAGAAGGATTTCCTCGAAGATGAAGTGGATATGTACGTCAGGCCAGAGCCCAGTAAAACTACAATAGAGAATGCCAGAAGAGGTTGGGGAATACTGCGAAGACACGTGCAAGAAAAGGTGGCCGCAAACAGAAACAAAGCTTCTAATTTACAATGGACAATGCTAGGTCAAACATTACGCGGAATGTCCAATGCGGAGCGTACGAGAATGGACTTGTATCAAAGGTATGGTATTTTACCACAACTTAATAACGATGGAAAATACGTGAGGGAGAATTCAATGCTCAGTCAAAAAGCTCGCTCTTTAGCCAGGAACACTGAAGCCGAGGAGGAGATAGAACTGAAGCCGAAACCCAAACGTTATGTGCGCGCTCGGAGTAGTGTTTTACCGAGAAGTTCCACGATATCATATACAAACTTAAACAAACAAAGACCCTTATATTCTAGACAAAGGGCCGTTTCAGTAGGTCCTAAACAAACATAGAGAGGTTTTTATTCAAGTGTAAAATACGAAAGTTATATTAAGTTGTACAAAGGATATCTGTGATAAAAAAAAACAAAGACCAACGGTACATGTTATATCTTCGTTTGATCTATATCTCTGATTTTCCTGTGATGTCATGTGCTTATATTTACCTATTGATCTATAAAAGGTATATAATAACTAACAAGGTGTAGAATGACAGATATATAGCAAAACTCATCAGCCCATTTCAATAATTTAATACAAATATATGCCACTTTTGTTGGTCTAAAGTCAACAATTTCGAAATTTCGGGTTGGCTTCAAAGAGTGGCTTTAATAAGATTATAAACAGAACAATTTGAGGCACCCGAGCAGATATTCGTTTTCCATTTAAAATGTGTAATAGCTGAAAGAGCTGTGGTTTATAAAGAAGTAACCCATTATGTAACCGCTATCCGATTGTTGGTTGAAAAAATAAATTATCATTATAATACGTTAAATATAATAATTTTGTTTTCTGGTTGTTAACATGGGTGGCAAAATGGGGATGATATATGAAGCAATGTGTATGGATGTCTTTCAGAGAAGATCATTCTTCTTATTATATTTTTCTCCTAAGAATTACAATTCGGATGTATTCCCAAGGTAAAACGGTCATGTAAGCCTGTGTTTTAAATATTATGTTGCACTGTAATTTACTAGACTGGGTTGTAAGTAAGTTGTGTTCCTTAAACTAAAGATCATGTATGTTTTAGTTCAGGATTTGGTCAGTTGAATATAATGTAATTATATAAGAGATTAATCCTATTTTCATATCATATGTTGATCATATAATTGTATAATTTCTAAGTCTGTTTTTCGTTTTAGCTTAATATAAAATCCCCTTACGAAATATAATATTTTCGTTTCAATTATACAAGTATATTTTGAACGTAAACATAGACTTAAAACATTTAATAGGTTATGACTTACATACACCTATGCACATGTTCATGTACATGTATGTCATTAAAACATATCTACATTGAAGATAACCAGTTTAACAGTAGCAGTTAAAATCATTGGTAAAAATTTGGAAGTAATCAATGTATTTTATATTGAACGGCATTATCTGGAAGTACTTGTGTGCTAGAATCTGATTTGATAACATATCATAATTTTATCAACTGGGCTATATAAACACAATTCGACACAAATGAACTAATTAAATTTGATAAACTCACATTTGAATATCAGTATTGTTATATTATGTTTATTTTATTTGTAATGCCGTGAAATGAGGTTTTACGTCCTATTTGTCTGTATCATTTTTTCTAATGAAGACGGGTATTCGACTTGAAGTGTGCGGTTATTATTGTGTCCAGATAGTGACGCTACGACATACTCTTATTTCGAATGCCAACTGTCAAGGGTTCTTTTACGTGAACGCTAAATTGTTTTTTTAATTATACCATTTGTATTATTATTGTTTTAAATATTACAAAGAAGACGTGAATTACGTGGAGTGGTACCCTACAAAGAGTAAGCATACGTTCGTGCACGATACTCGTCACAGCGAAAGCTTTCCAAGAAAATTATTTTGCCACTATGATATTTCCTTTACCACGGAAGAAATACGCGAATAAATCAAACTTTACCATTTAATCCGAGTCCTCAATTGGCGTGATAGGTTGTGGCTGGTCCAGTGGTTTGACGCGTGTGCGTGAAATCACAAGATCTGCCATGGAGTCGAGCGGCGTGGTTTCGATTCCCCAATTGACCGTGACAAGGAGTGGCGTGCCTGTCCAACCTCGTGGGTTTCTCCGGGTCCTCCGGTTACCCCCACTGCAAGTGTCCCGGTTTTGATTTGGTGTGAGTATTAAACGTCATAAAGTACAATTTGATGTTTGGGCCAAATCAATATGTATATTGGATGTTTCTGTAATATATATGTAAGATAACGAATATAGCAAAGATGTATATATTGCCTTCAATATTTACTGACTTTCATATATCCGACAAAGGGCAATTCCGAAAACAATCTGTAGTTTGAAGAAATAAGTAAACGCATAAAAAGAATAAATTCCCCAGAAAACCACAAATGTATTTGTCTGGCGGCTGTATGGCTCAAATCTTTGGAATCCCAAAATAGAAGCTAATGGGTCTAAAACAATATCGTATTAATATAACATGAATCCATATAATGTGATTTATGTTAAATTTTCAAATTTTTTATTATTATTTTGCCATTAATAATTACTTCAGTGTTCATTACAAATGACGCCCAAAACCATAAAGTTCATGACTCGTTTATTGCTCTTAAAATGTTCAATATGTCTTAAATATTGGATATTAGGATCCCATATTTACACGCTGTGATAACAAAATCAATATTAATTGAAATTGACCAATATTGAATTATAATTCATGTTTTTGATTTCGAATTTTATGAAAAATATTGATTTTGAGGTTTAGCTCCTTTAAAATGTGGCAGCTATTTCATCTCATTTATTTACAAAAAAAAAAAAATAATTGAATAACAGTAAACAGATCTATTCATTTATTTCAGCTTATAAAATACGTCAGTTAAATCCGGAATATAAGCTGTACTTAACAATAAATATTTAATAAACGCCTCCTTTCAATGCAGTACGGTAATTTGATTTTTTCCATTATAAATATTTAATATCTGAACATGAAAAGACGGATTTAATTTAATGTGACATATGGATCTAGGAAGAAAGGATATAGGATACGAAGTTTTAATCTCATTATGAATGACGTTTGTAATCTAAGTCGTGCGGTTGAAATTAACATAAAATGTGTTGGTGCACAAGTAAGAGTATTGGAGCTTGTCAAATATTTAACTGTGCTTGGCGGTACTTAAATCTCTTTTTGATAGACAGTGTTGGTGCAGGTTAGATCATAAGGCCTGTCATTGAGTGGCGGGTTTCGACTGCAGACTTGTACGTGATAAGGAAATTGATCACCTTATTATCCTCGTGGGTTCTTCCGGGTCCGTCGGTTTACTTCAATGCTTTGGTAGTGAACGCTACACCCCATTCTCGTTCTCACTCTTTTAATGGATAGAGAACTGTTTAATTCACAAATGTATGCCCAAGGCGGAAACTCTAAGGGGTGCGTTTTCGATCATAAGGTCTTGTTGGTTTTTCACCGAGTCCTTGTCCCCCGACTAACTCCCACTGCTAAGGACCCTACGCGCTAACGATTCATTGGAATAAAATTGAACCATGTTAGTCACGAAATGACCTAGGATGGATCAAGTAGATGTAAAACCCCACCCACACTCCCCATCTTGAATCAGTAGAGATATTTTAAAAGTAGACAATTTATAGCCTACTGTATTATGTATGTATTGTACAGATGACGTGTTTTACGTACAATACTTCCATTGTGAAGCCCTGATTATCTTTAGGGACAAATGTATATTAATAGCCTTGTACGTGAGCAATTTTTAAAATTTACTTTCGTTTTTTTTATGTTTCTATATCCGTGTGGGAATCTATATAGACTAGTATAACAATGATTTAATTGTACAACCACGCACGTGGTTTAGATGCAGCTTATCAATAATCATACCAGATTAACTACAATCTCTCTGGGATTTATACTATGCCATATACATTTGTATGAGGGTGCTAACATTCGGTAACAACAGACAAATATTAGTTTTATTTACTTACAGATATATTCCCACTATGTGTCATGCATTATGTATCAATCGGTTGGAGAATATGCCGGTAAAATATATTGTTAAAAACAATGTTTCAATGTTTGGTTGACCAGGTAGACCCAATCTCCTAAGATTATGTTTTGATACATCATAGTGACACCATTAGTGTTGAAATAGAAAAGGAAAGCAGAAATCAGTCTTAACCGAAAGGCAATATTCAGTCAATGAATCCAGTAATACTGATCATTAGATACTAGTAATTTCATTCGATCGGGGCCTTGTATTTTTGAAAGTACAATATACTACCTCTGCTTTCTGTTCTCAACTTGTGCCGGAGTTTCTCGATCTCGACAGGGGGGGGGGGGGGGTGAGGGTGTGGATGGACGAATGGTTACCTCGTGTGATTTGTATCATAAGGTCTGTAATTGTGCCAAGTGGCGAGGTTTCGATTCCCAGGTTGTACATGACAAGGAATAGGGTCGCCTGTCCAACCTCGTGGGTTTTCTCCGGGTCCTCCGGTTTCCTCCCGCGTTAAAGACACCTATGCGCAAGCGAATTATTGAAATAAAATTGAACCATGTGTTAGTCCCGGAATGACCTAGTTTGTGTCGAGTGGACGTTAAACCCATCTGGGTAGAAGCGGGCGTTAAGCCCCACAACCCCACCAACCAACCAACCAACCAGTTTAAGGTCGTCATATGATCATTATTAAGTGGCAATCGTTGATTCTTATAAAAAGAAAACTTATTTTTAAAACATGAATCATATTTCGCAAGAAATATCAAAGAATATGTTGTTCATACTGTCGGCATTTCATTTAAAACATGTACGAACGTGGAATTGCGACGTCAATCTAATAATATAGCAATGTACAATCGTCCCAAACAAGAAGACCAACAAGATGAGCAGCGGTTGGAGCCGCGTTCCAGATTTGTTTTCTATATATTATATACTTTAGTGTAGTGTGTTTGGTCGTGTAATGCTCAAAATGATGAGAATACCCCCATTAAAACGTTGCAGTTAAAGATACATTATTCAAGAGCTAATTTTGTATAGGCCTTCGACGTTATATACATTATTGATTAGACATTTATTAACATAATCAATTCTCGGTGCCATCGGATGCTCGAGATTTTATCTTGATTAGAACGGTTCGGCCATTTAATGATTTAATTTAAAGATAGGTTATCAGGCAACGAAGCATACGCCAACAACAGGTAAGTCGTCCAGGCAGTCAACAAGAGTTATCGCATATGTTTTCTTTTGTCGGTAATGAGACATTTATAATACACTAAAAATCTAATTAAGAGTAACAACTCATTAAGTAATTATCAGAAAATCATTAGAACTTGTTTGGCGTCTAGTTCTGCCCTATGCTAGTGCATCCACAATATTTTCGATCATAACTCCGCCAGTAATTATCAGAAATCCTCGAATATTATATAGGTGTATGGTCTCATGACCGTAAACACTGTGTATCAATTTAAAATCAATCAGGTGATAACTTTGGTCTCTAGAGCATCCACAACATTTTCAAAGTGATAAAGGCCCATAACCCTGGCAGTAATAATCGGAAATAAATAGGCTTCTTCGTCTCGTGATCTTAAACACTGGGTATAAATCTAAAGTAAATCAGATATTAAATTTAGCCTCTAGAGCATTCTAAAGGTTTTTTTTTAAAGTGATCAAGGGCCATAACTCTGGTAGCAGTTACCGGAAATCGTTGAAAATCTCATGGCCTTTAACTCTGTGCATAAATTTAATCGGATATTAACTTTAGCCTCTAGAGCGTCCACAATCAACATCTTGTCAACACTTCAAACAGTGATAACTTT